CCGAATTGACTTCCTTGCAGGACGTTTTCGAAGAAGTTCGAAAAAATCTCCATGATGCATATGTAAGAAATTCGAACAATTATAATTTAAGAAAGAGAGATTTCTCATTTGATGTAGGAGACAAGGTCTGGCGCAGGAATAAAGTGCTCTCAGACGCAGCTCAGAAATTCTCAGCTAAGCTCGCTCCTAAGTATGTTTTATGTACCGTTTCGAAAAAGATTTCGCAACTGGTTTATTCATTGGTTAATGATAAAGGTGCGCCAGCAGGAAACTGGCACATCAAGGATCTAAAACCTTATTATGGGTCCAACTCGGACGTCTCTGTTGGTTGACCATCCTTATTTTTTGTAAATATATTGTAAATACAATTTCCTTGATAGAAGGGTAGAAAGCGACTAGCTACGTTTTCTTCCTTTTAGTATTTCTTTGACAAGTCTTAACTGACTAAAAAGGAAAATTCGGAGGATTTTCTTTTACCTGCAGATGCCTGCAGCATTGACATGCATTTTTTTGCATCTTTTTTTAATATATTCGTGTCCTTACTTTGACTTTTTACCCGATTTTGACATTTACCGATTTTGACACTTACCGATTTTGACACTTACCAAATTTTGACACTTACCGATTTCGTAATCCTTATGGACGGTTGGTACACGCAGCTACCAGAGAAGGTGAGCTCACACGGATGTAATTAAAAACTGTAGATATTTGTAAGTAAATTGTAAGATATATTTTTTTTGAATAGGTATATTCTTTCTTGAACAGAAAAAATAGCCTATTGTATAGTCTATTTTTTTTCCTTGGAAGGGGGTGGTGTAGCGTTTCAGAATTCCATCCGGTATACAACCTGTAAAGACGTGTGCGCAACCTGTGAGCGGGGTTCTAGAAACGTGTAATACAGTCGCCTAGATATAATTTTTGGTTCCTAGTAGCGCGATCAACTGGTTCTGTAATTTGCAAATTGTATGGGCACTAGTTTCCGCGGTTGCGTCTTTTCGCTAATAGATAGCGTTTAGTGTGAATCTGCATTAATTAGCAGGAATTCTTAAATAAAACAACGTTTACAGATTACCATTTCATTATTGCCTATACGTCAATTGTAACGAATGCTATTTCCATTATTCTTGCATAGAGGGATGAAACCTGAAAAGAAAATCATTGAGAGAAAAGCTTGAAAATCAGTTGTTTCATGTTGGATTGGGGATGATTTTCACTTACCTGTTGTTTCACTTCATTACGTCTGGGATGGTCGAGCTAGGCAGTAGGCAGCCTTCAAGTGTTTTTCCATCTTCGTGGCAAGAAATCTTGGTTCCTAGAGGGCGCTGCATCGCGCGTTGTAGTTTCCTTTCCTGTTTCCTGCATTACCTACGAAGGGGCCTCGAGGGGTCAAGGGGGTTTTGGAGCGTGGAGATCGAAGGGGAATGGCGTGGGTCGTTGATCGTCGCTATTTTTGAGGCCGGTTTGTTCCTCAAAATTTTCCATGGCCGTTTGAGCTGGTGTCACCAGGATAAGTGGTATGTGCCTGGATAGCTGTTTGTAAAGAAGCCATGTCCGCCGTTGAGTTCAATTGAGTGGTTATTAACCTGACGCTGATGGGAAGCCGCGCGAGAGGTTGCGATGTACGCCGCCTTTTCGACATTTTGGATGGAGCTCATTCCTTTCTGGAACGAGACGTATCTTTGTGTTCTTTTCTGACCCACATGAGGGGCCGTCTAATCACTGCTCAAGTGATGAGACATGTTGGCGAGAGCCATTTTGTATAGATGATACAACCCTCCAGGGTGAGGGTTGTAAGTTACCATATAACTTATGTTTTAAGTTAGGCCTGAGTCAGGCTTACAATTTTTTGGTTCTGCAGCATTTGTAGCTGTAAATTTGGTTGGTGCCCATTGGGAGATACCCACTTATTTTTTTTTACTCCAACTTGCCTGGAGAACCTGGATACCTCTGGTTTCCTGCATCCATCTGCAGTGCTTGCAGATTATCAGTGGCTGTCCACACTGTCAGGATGAATTCCTCATCCTGAGCTCAGAAGCGACCCTCTGGACCTTGGACAGTTTGGAATCTCAGATAAGCTATCAGTTGAATCTTTGAAATGTTTTGAGAATGTCAAATCTTCATATTAGCAATAATCTCATCAATTTAAGTCCAAATTTCACATTTTCACATTATCACAATTTTTCTTCACCTTCTCAATAAGTTCATATTTTGACCCTGCGCAACACACAGTATACTGGGTGAGGCCAAGGCCTTTTTTTTAACACAATACTTACCCAATATGTATTCTTATCTCTTTGATTGATGAAGATTGGTGATAATCCAGATTTCATGTGTATCTGGTAATTTCTCTTCCATATTTATCATATTTGTACACAGGATAGATATGTCTCATGCAATATTTGAATGATGGCTCAATTGAGGATACCTATAGCTCATGGAGCGATATTATAAGCTGCTCAAATCGGTTTGCTTCTAAATAGTTATAATTAAATCTCGAATTAAATCCTAAAAACAAAACCCATTGACTTGTATTTCTCAACTCCTACTCCTGATGGACTATTGTTCTATGTAAAAATTATTAACACTTATCATGCATTCATGTTGAATTTTTCCAACCAGTCTATGAGTTTCTTTTTCTTGACTTTTCAATGAAACTTTCCTTCATAGTATAAAACTAAAGTCAAGTGGTGCCCAAAAATTTCGATAGAAAATGACAGATTCAAAATTACAACACAGTCCTTACCCATGACCTAGCTCTCCAAGACTATAAAAGCTGTCGGAGCAGTAACCCTTCATACAAGGTAAGTAAAAAGGTTACAGTACTATATTTGCTCTTGACTTGTCTGCGTTTGCCTTCGAAGAATCTGGTTTCGGTGGTTTTCCGTCAGCATGCCATTTAGGACAATTTCGTACTCTGTGACCTTTCTCGTGACAATAATTGCACAACCACTCGGTAATTGACTTCTTGAACTTACTGGGTTTCCTTTGCTGTGAGGATTTGGCTAACATCACTTCTTGGCTTACATATTTACTTCTCTCCTGCTGCATAAGAGCTCTCTCATAGGCACATAATTGATTGGTGAGATTGTCGATAGTTCTATCATTCTTAGCAATCAATAACATTCAACTGGATCTGAAGGAGAAGTAGTTTTCTGGCAGTGTTTCCAGAATTTTACAAATAAGTAACAGCTCTGGTAACACTATGGCATCTTCTCTTTTGATCTCCAATTTCAATTCATTCCAGAGATTTTTCAGCTTGGACATATGTGTAGCTACATCATCACTGGCTTCCTTCTGATAACTGAAGAACTGTAAGCAGGTATCATAAGCTTTGTTTTCAGATATTCCGTCGAAGAGTCGGTGCAGCTCTTGCCATATTTCGCGAGCACTAGAAAACCTCATGATCTTTTTCAGAGTCTCTTCTGTCATGTTGGTCGTAAGTATAATCATTGCACTACTTTCGGTTTTTCTGAAGTCGCACAGCTCTTTATTGTACTTGGTAACATCTCCAGCACTAGCACCAGCCTACAAAGCTTTTGGTTCTTCGAGAGTTCCTTCTACAACTTCCATAGCTCCGACAATACCTCTTAGTAGCGTATAGACTTTGTACTTCCACGTTGACCAATTTGACTTGCCTTCTAATAGTCCAATTTGTATTTTGGTGAGTTCCATCTTTCTGCGACTCATACGTTTTTACTTTTACTATTAGTATTGCGTATCTGGGCCCATAACCTGTTATAGTAGACTCCAGAAAGGCGAACTTCTATATTAAAACACAAATTAAACTGACAAGTTCAATATATTTGACAAACTACTCTTTTTTCAAACAACAACACAGTTACATCAATAACCAACACACTTTGATTAAACTTGATAATGATAAATATCTCAATAATGAACAGTTAACCGTAGACACGTGTTTCGGTTAACTCTTCAAATTATGAGGGCTATGTGCACTATTTTCTTCTCAGTCGTTCGAAACAGTCGCCTCAATATTTCTTCAATCATGTTATTATCAAATGATTTTATACGTATCAAATTTTTGACGCGTTGATGATTGAAATGTGCAGGGTGTACGAATCGATGTCTCATCTAAAAGAATTTAAAAATAGATATTCACGTAACCAGTTCGAAAAGGCGTTATTTTGTGTGATGATGATGCAGAACACATAGTTATAGTTTACCCAAGGTCAATTGGAGCGCCTCGGACAACGAATGTCCGCACATGCATATACTTCAAAAGGGACTTCAAACTCGCCGACACCGCGCGGTGTATGTTTTTTGCGCAAGATGCTCCAATTGACTGGTAGGCAATACAGATAATGCGTTCCCTAACCAGTTACGTTTTTTTTTTTTTTATTTTGATGAAAAATTCCGCTTGCAGAAATAATGATCAGCTCTACATATATGAGATCAACCGATTATCTACAAAATTGATCAAGTAAGCATGTCGACTTCGCCCTTCACTTAGAAGTAGGTATCCGTCAAACAATAATATGGTTACGAATCAGCGACAAAATTTACTCGCTATTTTCATTAGTGGAAAATGGCTTATTCAAGTTCCGATTACCCAAGTAATATCGAGGAAGCAACACAAAATGCACTATTCTCTTCGTCCACTCATATTTTCATCTCGTTACTGGTGTTGAAATGAAAATGTCATCATTAGTTATGTAATATCTTACTTCACGCAACCGGTTACCTGATGCCTTGATTATATACACTAGTGTGACTACTCAAAGCCTGAAGTAAGTCGTTTCAAACCTTCCGTCAGTTTCTGAAAGTGCCAAAGCACATGTCAAAATTAGAAAAGAGGAACAATTTGTTTCAAGTTCGCATATTTTTCCATATTTGGACACTGAATCGATGAAATTCAATATTTCTCGGACCACTATATAGTTTGGTTCTGCTACTATCTGGTTAGAAAAATATATCTATACAGGGTGATCCATATTCTTTTTTATGAAGAAGGCGATTAGTTCAATACAAGCATTTTTTAGTGATGCGGAATGCCCTGCAGAAATCTAGAGAAGCAGCTGAAAATGAGAGGGCGCAGTTGCTTGGCCTAGTTAGAAATTTAGAAATAAAGATTGCCGAACAATCTGCTAATGGTCAGGAGGACAGATGGGCACTCCAACAGGCAACTGCAACATTAACAGCGAGAGCCACGGCAATTGAAAGAGAGGCGGAATACAACAAAACTGTTCTAGAAAGAGAAAGAGAACAATTGAAGGTAAATGAGTGCTACAAATCTCCATTGATAACTAGCCAGAGTTGCTCTCGCTTTGCTTTGACATAGCCAGCCACTTCCTATCAAATTTAACATCAAATACAGAGATTATCATCACAGTGAAGATTTATACTAGCTGCATACACGTATATGATCAATTAAATTGAGAACTTTTGTATTTCTTGAAAAAAAATTGGCCTAGAATGATCACTCATTTATACATACATTCTTAGATCATCGACTATAACACTGAAAAATTACCACTTCCGGTTCGTATGCCGCCCTTGGGAAGTGACCTAGGTGTATGCAAACCGGCAAGCGCCCCAATTTACGTGAGATAAGATCATTGCACTTCATTGCCGAGTTTCTTATTAAACAAAATTTTGAACTTTTTTCCAACCGAAAGGTGAGGTCAGGGCCGGAGCAAGGACTGGGTTGCGACTCTCCGAGGCACTCCTTCCTGTTAACTTGGACTGAGTGAGTGGGTCCTTTAAATGGCATACCGACTTAGAACATCGATAAACCCTGTGTCGCGGGCCAACAGTCTATTAATTTTTCGAAAAAAAATGTTCCTTCCATCTGTGGTCCCTATGTCATTTGTCTTCTTCAAATTCATATCAATTCATTTTGTCAACAAATCTGTCATGGTCAAATATCTGTTAGACTAAATGAGGTTAAAGTCCCTCGTGTTATTTATTGAATGTATGTCTATTCTCAATGCCGTTTCTACCTTGATGATGTCTTCCATTAGGTTTTGAACCTTTTTTTGAATACTTGACGAGTAAGTATAATCTACACCTTTTCATTAATATTTCATATAGAAAATTACTGACTTGCAGGTATAGCACTGATATAGCGTATTAGCAGAAAGCGCTCTGCGATTTTATAATAGAATATTCAGCTGCTTCACCGACTTCACATGTCAAGTCCATTGGTACGATGCCCTACTTTGACACTCATTTCTTCAAACTCAACCCCTCCAGTTTAAAATCGAAACCTTTTCCATGATCAAGGGATGTATATCATAACATATAACTCCCTCCTGTGGGGCTGCAAAGATGGGTTGCCGAGCTATAGCGGCGCACGCACAAGCAACGATACTTCCTTTTATTATGTACAGGCCTTGATTATTCAACTTGTCTGACTTCGACAATCGGTGGAAAAAATAAGAATATTATTCATTACATATTTTTTCGATTTCTGTTGTAGTCGAGGTTGTGGTATGTACAGAATGTTGAAATTCACTTATTTTTTGGATTTGAATTTCAATCTGAAAACGAAAGCTATCGATTCTAAATTCGGTGAGCACATTACTATATCGCCAAATCAAGTCCATTGGTGCAATCCCCCTGTTGAATCCATATCTCCGGATATCGTTTCTCTTGAAGTTTTCAACGTAATTATTTTCTACAAATTCTTCCTCTTTCGTCATTTAAGAGAAATCACTCGTTATATTCTCAATATTCCAAAAGTTGCAAACTTGTTCATTCAATGAAACCATGTGCACAAAAATTTTAGTGGGGTACTGATTTCAAAGGATCCTCGTATAATGCAGGAAGTGTTCCGGAAACAATTCACCCTAACGAAGTATTCTGGAGTATGAGCATATTTTTGCCCATATTTATCTGACCAACACAATAAAGAAGTTGCCAAAATACGCTAGCACCCAAAGAATATTTACATTCGAAGAAATGTTTAATGATTTATCAGCTAGTCTAATATTGGATACATTGAGTTATTCCAAATTGAATGAGGTTAATGGCTAATTTCCAGGTTTTTTTCAATGTAAGACAATCCAATTCATTGATTCTAGTTGCTCCTTGATTTATTCCGAAATCGGCAAATTTTGAATCTACTTTCTGATAAAATTTGATTGACTTCTCTTCGGATTTACCATCCGAAATTTTCACTTTTACTTGTGCAGTTGATAATAACAATTGACCAGAATGGCTTTGTTAAGCTGAATAATTGAGCATTATTGTTATCATCCTGATGGATACTGTCATCAGTTGGAGTACCTTTCTGGTATTCACCTTGTATGAAAGGTTTCTATTGAACCCTGTACACGTTCAATATGAAGCAAAGTGTGATATGACTTTGACCCCATTTGAAGCATTTTCTAGAATAACAACCTTCTGCGTAATGATTTTTCTCAAAACAATTCAGGCATAAATGGATGGTTCTGACCGTTCTGACGTGATTGATTCTCTCATTAATATGTAATTTCAAGAATTGTTCACAATCATTAACATTCCTAGAGAAGAAGAATAAAACATAGACATCAGAGGCCAAAGAATAGCACAAGACTGAAATAAATGAAAGAAGTTCACGAAAGACTGAAAAACTAATCGTTATACCTCAACGGGTATGTAGACTTCATCCAGAAAGGCGTGATTGCATGATCAGACCATGTAAATTCCTCTGACCATAAAATGGATTTTCAATCAGCAAAAATTTTAGCCACAGAAAGCAATCACAAAAAAAGATTTTTTTCTGGAAATGTCTTTCATCGCCTAGGAACCTATAATTGTATCAACAAAAGAGCTGATATCAACCATCTAAGTGAAATTTATTCGTATCTTTTATCAATCGATAACCACAATCCTGTGTTAAATAATAACATTTCAACATAACCAATGAAAACATCTCTTTATAAATCTTATTATGATGCACAGATTTCCATCAAAAATTTTACCGTAAAATTTCACAATCTTCATACTTTCTCCTCCCAATACTGTTGTGACTGATACACACTAGTACTAGGTACCATATGACCAAGGTTATCACATTCTCAGTTCCATCTCACCATTGAATTGGAAGAATAAGGTTCAGTTCCCTAACCTAAGATTTTTATTCTGACACACGTTGTGACTAAAAAAGTTTATCATGATTTTAAATCAGCTACGTTTTTGATATTGACCTAATATTTTAATTATTTTGTATTTGTTGTTAGGTTCCAGATATGTTATACAACAATTTTTCATATATATACCTTTTTAGTAACATCAATGTAACCAACGTCAATGAGTTGTAAGTACATATCACTCCATAGTTAACTAGCTTTGCTGATTTTTATAACATTTTGTAGTCTTTCCCTGATGATGAAAATATAACTTTCCGAAAGCTTGAATAAACTTGCATGAGTTTCACTTTTACTTTGCTGCTTCCCCACTACTAAGTTTCATCTCTAACTTGTCAGCAACCACAAATGTGCGGCTGGCTTCTGTTTGTTGACTCCGTTTATTTGATGTTTCGTTTTTTACCAAGTGCTGCCCATCCTTCGCACTTCCTCTCACCGTACTGATGAGGGCCGAAAGCCCGAAACACGTGTATACGGTTATCTATTCGTACAGATATATATATACATATACATGTTGTTTCATAATTTAATGCTGATCCTCAAGGACGATAATCCTTGGATGATTTCAAAGAGAAAAGTTCATATCAACATATGTCTTAAACCTCTTAGTTATTGAGCTACAGGGTGATGAAATTTCAAGAAAAAAATGAGTTTTTCATCATAATTTCTTATCACTCTTAGATATTGTTATGATATTTTGTATACACCTTTTCATTATTAGGGAGCATTTTTTTACGTGAAAGATATTTAAAAATTCTCACTAGTGGCATCCGTACGGGGTTTGAACTGACAATTTTTGAAGAAAAAAATAGTACGCCACTGACAGATTTTTTTTTTCAATTCTTATTCATTTTGGAGCAAATTTGGTTCCTAGACTTACTTTCATACAACGTACCGTTTTCACGTAAAAAAATAAAAACCAAAGAATTTTGTTCCTTCAGTTCTTGGATATTGTTTTTGGTAATACAGTAGACACCCAATATGATTGGAAACACATTTTGTTTTGGGACGAAGATCAAACTTTTACTTTTACCAGTGATGTCCTCGTAGACCTGATATTGAATGTTTTGTTCAAAAAAACGCTGTACGCTTCTGATTTCAACACCCTGTAGCTCAAAAACTAAGAGGTTCAGGACATATGTTGATATTAGCGTAATATATATCAATCAACGGTTGATATGAACTTCTCTCCTTAAAATCATCCAAGGATCATCGCCCTTTTTAGGATCAGCATTCAATTATGAAACACCCTGTATATATCTCTGTAGAAGGGAGTCGTTGCTGACACGTTAGAGATAAAACTAGCTTGTTATTAGGGATTGCAGCAAAGTAAAGGTGAACTCAATACAATTTGTCCGAGCTTTCGGAAATGTACTTGAGAACTTGAGCATTTACAACTCTAGCATAACACTCTTCAAGAAAAAATGGAAAGGAAGCAGAGAATCTTGTCATGAAATGAGTTTTCAAGACTTATGTATATGTTTCGAGGAGTTTATAATATCGATATATTCAATTTTGCAAATATTCTATATATTGAGAATCAGTTTATCGAGGACAAAAAACATATACTATGTTCTCATTTTTCCATCGATTTTCAAAGTGAGACAAGTGAAACCGGACATATCCTGTTTATTGATAATCTGAAATCTAGAATATCAGTCATTTGGAAATAATGACTATATGTTCATATTTGGCACTAGTATACTCTACCATCTCATTTTTTTCAGACACTGAAAGAGTCCTTATTAGCAGAGCAAGAAAAGATGGTGATGCGACTAACAGAAGAAAAACTTCAACTCAGCTCTGATAAAGCGAGATTTGAAACTTCTAGCAAACTCACGAATACTTTCGAAATCGACAAAATGAAAGCAGAAGCTGAAACCGCTATCACAGTTGCGAAAGAACTCACGGACAAAGTCAACCAAGAAAGGATTCATCTGTACCGTCAAAAAAACGATCTTGAATCTTTCAGAAGAAATTTGGGGGATCGAGAAAAAGAACTAGATGAAAGGGAAACCGAGTTAGATTTCCTAGTGCAAGACGCCCAACGAAAACTGAAAGATGACAAAAAAATACTTATTGAAGCTAAACGTATGGAAAAAATCTACAAAGAACGAATGCAAGAATTACAGAAGCAATGGTTATCCCTAAATGATAGAGAGAAAAAGCTATCTGAAGAGAAAGTGCTGCTTTCGAAGGAGAGATTAGCTCTATATACTTCTATAAAGACGGCCAAGAGTTGTGTGCTATGTAAACCTGGTGTAGGAATGTCTTTTGATGCTTTTCCACAGATGAATTTGCCAACTGATTCAGAAAATTCTAAGGTGAGAAAACAATGATCTTATGAATTGAAACAAAAGGTCATAATAATCTGGTACACATTGGCCCAATTATTGAGAACCACTGAATCATTTCTACTAGATGTAAACATGGCGGAAATATAATACGTATGGTGTTTTTCAATACGAATTACCGAGAAAACTTTTTTGATAAGTATAGATTTGCATATTATATTTTCGTCATGGATGAAAACTTGTATGTACTGGTATAGTTTGATTTGTGTATGAATCCCAACTGGTCATCTACCATACGAGATATCTTTCTCCTGAGTAGGCGTTGTTGCTCGACCCCATACCCTATACCTTAGGAACATTACTGTTTATTTGAACGCAACAGTGACTCGCATAAAACTGCATCCGGTCAAGGTAAAAAAAATTTGGAATATATAACTCACTTTGAAAATAAAAAAGATATAAGAGAATAAAAAAATATGTACCTACACTCATATGAAATAATCGAAATAATATTTTTTTTTATCGCTTGAAGCGCACGAAAGGGAATCCCTATAATGTTCAGAGAACATCGTGCGTTCCGAGGGAGGATAGGGACAGGAGGTAGGTATTGGAATTTTTTTGAACTTTTGGAGATTATATGTTGCTGGGAATAATACTTCCACAGGCGATGAATTCCAGAGCCTAGCTGTTCTATGGATAAAGGAGTCTTGATAAAGTGCTGTTATATTTACTATGTATCTACTTACCTGACTTTAAAATACCATGAAATATATTTTCTGTGACGTGAAAAAAATTTTAAATTTCATCTCTGTTGACAGGTTATAATGTCACTTCTCATGAATTTAATTCTTTCCACGCGGAAAAAGTGAGAACTTTTTCCCCAGATATATATATATCACATATACAGGGTGTCCCTAGACCAGTGGGACAGTTGAATATCTCCTGAACCAATAGGAATTTTGAAAATATTATATTTCCACATCATATCGCATTATGAGTGCTAACTTCAGGAATGACTATATTTTCTACGAGGGGCGCAAGAAAGGCTCACAAAATCGAACATCAATTTTTTCAAATGGAACACCCTGTATTTCATTGCATTTCCATATTCTCCTTGAACAGCAGAATTCAACGACCTAGCACACTTGGGGTCTAGCGGGAATGATTTCCGAGATATAGGGTGTGGAAAATCGAGATTTTTCAATTTTGAGAATTTTTTGTGTCAAAACTATTCATTATTGGTCAAAACGGCTCACATGTCCATATCTTAACTTTTGATTTACTATTTACTCGTATTTAATTGAAACAAATACAGGGGGGTGTAGAATTCTGACTGAAACTGAGAATTTTACACCACCCTGTATTTGTTTCAATTAAATACGAGTAACTAGTAAATCAAAAGTTAAGACATGGACATAAAAGCCGTTTTCACCAATAGTGAATAGTTTTGACACAAAAAATTCCCAAAAATGAAAAATCTCGATTTTCCACACCCTATATCTCGGAAATCATTCCCGCTAGACCCCAAGTGTGCTAGGTCGTTGAATTCAGCTCTTCAAGGAGAATATGAAAATGCAATGAAATACAGGTTGTTCCATTTGAAAAAATTGATGTTCGATTTTGTGAGCCTTTCTTGCGCCCCTCGTATAAAATATAGTCATTCCTAAAGTTAGCACTCATAATGCGATATGATGTGAAATTATAATATTTTGAAAATTCCTATTGGTTCAGAAGATATTCAACTGTCCCACTGGTCTAGGGACACCCTGTATATATATATATCGTTATCACCTAATTTTACTGACAGATATTTGATTACTTCAAAAGAATGAGGATGCCTGCAAAAAGATGCCTGTGCAACGAAGGTGTTATTCCTGTTAAAAATTTCGAATTTCACGTCGATAATTTTCTGATTTGAATATAATGTAATATCTTCTCAATATTGATTCGTCCTTTTTTTTGTCACAGAAAAAAATAGTGTATTATACACGGGAAAATTATTAGATTTTAGCCCCAGGTTGTCGTGTCTCCCGACGCGACTATTTTTGAGTAGGTCGCATCTAATAGCAAGTTGACCATTTATTTGTGTATGTTTAGCTGTATCACGCAACTTGTCAAAGAGACAGAGGCTTAGTGTGTCAATCATTCATCTGTAGATACTGACTTATCTCAATGGCAATTTTAAAACAGTAACATTACCTATTCAAAATGACCGCATGTTTCATCCAAAACTAATCGAAGTGCCAGGTTTTTAACTATTTTATCAGATTGCTCCACAAAAATACGATCGATACCGTCACAGTGTCGTAATATTGGTTTTAGAAAAAATATTTCTTGCGCCGCCATTTTAAAAACTCGTGATATGTCATTGAGAAGGAAATTTTCCGCTCTACCAAATGGTGTAAAAATATCTACAGAGTTCTATTCCTAACTCCAACATAACAGTATATATTTCCGAAAAAAACGGAAGTAATATTTAATTATTTTCTCATGAAAAATATTGATTCTATAAACTTAATTTTCGATCCAAATGTCAAAAGTCTAAAATGAAAAACAACTGAACGACGTTATTGCGAAAATTGAATTTGAAAACTCTACATTTCACCAATGACTGTATTTTATCAGAAATCTCTCATTGTTAGAAAATTTGTTTGGAATCGTAATAATTTGAAGCCAAAACTCTCCAATACTTATACTTTCACATAGGATTATACAGATCTCATCAGGCAAGAGTAGGAATCAAAACTCGTTTCAGCACAATTATTTGTCTTGAAAAAATACCATTTGAATACCTACCCATTCATTTATATGTATACGATATTTTGTAGATGTTAGATGCGAACACTATGAGACTGCGCTTGGAAGCAATGGAGGATGACGAAAGTGAAGTAAGCAAGGAAGAAAGTCGTTCGGTTAGAATTAACGAATCTTTCACATGACCTCTGTTTTGGTTGAATCTGACATAAATATATTCAATAAAGACTGACAACATCACTATATTGTAACTTTATTTTGAATCTCATAGCCTGGGAGCCAGCGACCGTTTGGAGTAAGTCATTACACAAAAGTTGAAATTGTTCCCTGAGCTTTATTTGGTATAAGTAGTGAGGGAATGTACCTCCAGCTGGCACAGTTCCGGGGGGCGTATTTAGTTGCGGCAGCCACCAACAAACTAATGAAAAAACAAAACTGATACCGCAAAAGCTGAAACATTGTTAACATGTTGATTTTTTTTATGTTCTGGTTCCCTCGGAGAGGGATATCCTGTAATGTTCAGAGAACATCGTGAGAACCAAAGGAAATGAGGTAGGAATTGGTGTTCTTAAATTTTTGGAGGTTATATGCCTCGCTTGACAGTGTGTACCAGAGCCTCGTTGTTCGTTGGATGAACGAATCTTTGGAAAGAGATGTTCTGCAGGTCTCCAAAGTGACCAAGAAGGGGTGCGAAGCCTCAACTCGACGGGTTGATCTCGCGGGGACTGCCAAGGGAGGAACAATTATTGTTGATATTTCAGAAGAGCATTGTCCATGAAAATATCTATAAAATAGAGCCAGATTGACAACTTTTCTACGGTGTTCCAGAGAAGTGAGTGAGTTTGTGAACGAGCAGGCATCACCCACGAAACAAATTGCCCTTTTTTTGGACAGAATCCAACAGTTTCAGGGTATGTTTGGGTGCTGCACTCCAAATATTTGAACAGTATTCCAGGACAGGTCGGATCTGTGGCTTATAGATAATAAGTAGCTGACTGGAAGTGAAATAGCTCCTGGCTTGAAACAGAAAACCTAGTTTTTGGGATGCACTTTTAGCAATTGATCTCACGTGATTTTCCCAAGAGAGGTTATTGCTGATATTAATACCAAGATGAAAATGGATGTCTTCAAAGGTATGGTTACTCCTGCCAAGCTTATGTTGGGCACAGTGAGATCGGCTTTTCTAGAGACAAGTCATGCTTGTGTTTTGTTTGCATTGAAATCTACCAAGTTATTGGATCCCCATTCGAGAAGGCTACTATCATCCGCGAAGCTGTGTACTGGACACGAAGTACGAAGTTGCTTCCAACAAATCGTTGATATGGAGTAGAAATAATGTTGGTGCTAGAATTGGTCCTTTCGGAACACCAGCATTCATGATAAGAGAGTGAAATGAAACTCCGTCGATCACTACATGGAAAGACCTGTTTGAGAGAAAACTAGCTAGCAGAGAACATAGCTGGGGAGGCAAGCCATAAGATGGGAGCTTGGCGAGGAGTCGGTGTGGTGCCAGACTCGATCGAATGCCTTGGAGATATCAAAAAGTGCCACGGCTAAGGTTTCACCATATTTTTCAATAGATTGCTGCCATATATGTGAGACGTAAGCGAGCAGGTCACCAGTTGATCTCTGATGACGTAAGCCATATTGCCTATCGTTGATGATACCTTAATGTTCCAGGTATTTCATGAGGTCGACGTTGATATATAGCTTTCTCCATGATCTTTGAAATGATATAAATATAAAATAATATAAATAAAAATAATATAAATAACAGCAGTTCGGAATGGCCTGCCATACGAGTGCAATGGGTAGAACTTTATACAGACCACTCATTCTCATAAAGGATAGATGGTACCGATGGAAGATAATGAAAATAGAAATGCAGTTCTAATAAGATATACTTTGAAACAACAAATTTATGACCGTTCGAATAACTCAACTCTGACAGTTCACTATGAATCACCCTGTAAATAACTTCATTGAAGCGATAGTCGAGTTAATAACATGAATTATTTTGGATAGGAATTTTGAAAACGAAGATCGACAGGCACGTTATTGGAATGAACATCTGCGTATAATAATGATGATAATAATAATAAATAAAATTTATTGAGTACAATTATTCAAAAGGCCATTGACCGAGATCCTTCGGCCACAAGCGTATTTTAATTTTTCGAAATGATTCTAATTAAGTTAGCAACGCCGCAAACGAATATCAAAAATAAGACAAGTTATGTAGGCAAAAAAACGATAAATCAAAATATGTGACGTAAGGGTTTGTAACGTTCATTTTTCAATTTGTATTTTTATCGTGATATTTAGCACTACCTGGTCATTCTTGTTTTTGGATAATTGATAACACCGTTTTATTCTAGTATTTTTGAAGCATCACTTACATATGTAATAGAGAACAGAGTACGTTCTCGATGCATTATTCCAAATTCGAACTGGATAACACAACACTCATATCATTTCACTGCACTTAACACAATTCACTGATGACTTCCTATTCCGAAGTGCTGGTGAACCTGTTGCTCGTCTGCAGGAGAGATCGTACCTGAAATAAAGATATGTTTACTAATATAGAGGAATAATAGTTAAATGATAGTTTAGTATAAGACACGGTTGAGGTTTAGTAAATATAATAATGTAGTAATAATAGTTCACTTACCCATTAGTTGGTTTCCACGATTGCTTGATTGTTTTGTTTATAAATAAATCTGGTAGCGTCGCTTGGCTGATAAACTGAGACGCGAAGTCACCTGACTTGGTCTCTTCAACTTCTCGCTTATTTTGCCCGTAGCAGGTCCCTAGAGCTTATGTTGGCATGTGAAATTTAATATACGGCGTATCTTCGTTTGACATATTTATCTGAGAAAGATCACTGCTGATCATCACCAGGGTCGTAGGACTTCGTTCAGGCTCGAGGAAGGACTGCCGTGTCAGGAATGTCGACACCTTCCAGGTTTGTCGAAAATACATGTTTACAGGTGCGAGAGATTTTTGAAGGATAGTGATATAGCTTCCTTGGTGACTCATCCACGTGATGAGAGAGGACAATAACATGTCGGATTGGTGAAGGGTAGTGCTTGTGTGATATTATTTTCGTGGTATACGGAAATTTTCACCCTAGTGTGGATATATTAGCATCTTGTCAATCATTTCATCACATATCGTTTGATATCACTCTGGAGTGATTTTAGTGATGAAATCATCTTCAAGATGAAGGATCTCTGCAAACCGGCATGAGGCTCGAATCGAACCTTCAATTTTAGTTCGGAACTTCAAAATCACTCTCAACCAACTAAGGAGGTGATGAATTTCAAAATTGGTGAGTCAAGTAACTTTCTATAGCAAATAATCATTTTAGGGTGCTTGTACCAGCTGTTAATCAGCCGCCTGTATAACCGGCATCGTTACCCTGACGTCATCAAGCTTTGATGCATGACGCAACATTTTCTGCATGCTGTTTCAAATCTGCTGCTCTGCTCATTTTTCTGATCTCTCTATGATATGATGCTGTGCCAAGTTACTTCAATTCCCGAGTTATGTAATGCTGGATAAAAGGACTGCGAACTTGGTGATGTTACATAATTATGCTGAATGCTGACCTGCCAAGCTCGAACCAGATAAGCTGCATGCTTTTTTTTTATTTCAGTCTTTATTAGTTTATAAGTTCATTTTGTTCGATTGAGTCTATAAGTCATAGACAACTATTGTTTTGTTTAAGACTGGCGTTTCCGTGTGCTGGTATGATAATCATCATCTAGTATTGCTAACGTTGATAAAAGTTACACAGTGTACACTCAACGTGATCACGTAGGGGTTAACAGGAACCGATATAATTTTAAACTAAAACACTAACTTCATTTTACTTGGTTCTTTGGGATTTTCTCTTCTCGTTTCTATAAAATAAAAGTATTCGTATTATTTCAATATATTTGTAGAGGGACAAATCAGATGATTTGCCCCAAAATGTCACTGCGTTTAACAAATTTTTCTATCAGGGAGTCTAAAAGAAAAATCCAGTAGCTTGTCAGTGACAATTTGTTTGAAAAAATTTTTGAAGGAAAGAAATATAGATATATTGAAAAAATATCGAATTTTTACTTATCTTTGGACGTTTCGGGACCGATTCTGCTCCCGTTCTCAACATGTAAATGCAAATTATTTTTCTTTTAAAGTTGTGCTGCGTATAGTTTGACACTTTCAGTGTCATACTGATGTTGGCATATGAAAGTGTCAAACTATACGCAGCACAACTTTCAAAGAAAAATAATTTGCATTTCATGTTGAGAACGGGAGCAGAATCGGTCCCGAAACGTCCAAAGATAAGTAAAAATTCGATATTTTTTCAATATATCTATATTTCTTTCCTTCAAAAATTTTTGCAAACAAATTGTCACTGACAAGCTACTGGATTTTTCTTTTAGACTCCCTGATAGAAAAATTTGTTAAACGCAGTGACATTTTGGGGCAAATCATCTGATTTGTCCCTCTACAAATATATTGAAATAATACGAATACTTTTATTTTATAGAAACGAGAAGAGAAAATCCCAAAGAACCAAGTAAAATGAATGTACCACCTCCTCGATTAACCTACAGACAGTATTTAAAACACTAACTTATTCCTCCTATTCGATAGCTTTATTTTTGTTTTCATACAGATGATATATATACATATATAAGATGATATGCATGTTATGCATCCTGTGAACATTCGAATATCAGCCGTTACACTTTAATTTTTTGTCCAGTCTTGAATAAATCGTTATTCTGGGAACTATTCATTTTCTTCATTCTTCTCAAGGTTTATATAGCGCAAATTTGAGATTTAATTATTCTTATTCATGATAGAAAAAAGTGGAAGTTTTGGTAAGTCAGCACTTGAGTATATACTATTTTTTTATTAGTTATCATTTAAATCATTGAGGTTCCCTTATTTTTCTGGAAACAGAACCTAAAAGAACTTGGGGAGTTTTCCAACTTAATCTCGCAATTTTGTAAGTTGGTGGCGCCCATTATTTTTATAATTTTCAATATACGGTGTGTTTCGGTTCAACCCACCCTAAAACCGACTGAGCTTCGGAGCGATCCTGCTCGTGCATTTAGCATCTGTTTTCCAGGGAATTCTCAAAGAAGGCACGTGGCAGGTCTGTACGTGTGACTATAGATAGCAGCGCCATACTGTGTGTGTCGAGATCTCTTGTTCCGACCTTAGAGCTCTGCCACTAGCTGGCTACAACATGACTAGAACTTCATGTTATACCCTGGGTCTTCGAAATGGGTGATATACCCGAAGCGGCGAAGCGTAGAGTTGTCCCAGTTGACAGCAGACCGAGAGCGGCTGAGGAGACCGAAACAGTACTGTCTCGCTCCTGCTGACAATTAGGGCAACTCCGTTCATCCTGGATCTCTTACTTATGAGATCTAGCAGTCAAATAATTTTGTTCATAATCAAGGCACTCCGGAATAGTGAGACCAAAACAACTTTCTCAAAAAATACACTAGAAATCACCCCAAGCTTTAGTTTTTCAAATGGATCCCAAATATATTTCTCAGTTAAGTTTTATAGAACTGATTATTCTCAATTCAATGATGAACTACGATAGATATTTTACTTCACTTTATTCAAACTCTCCCAAGTTATATTTCATGAACGAAGAATATAATTTTGAATGTGGATATACTATCGAAATGATGTATCTTGTCATTTCTCAACCAATTTTTCGATGAGGAATATAAAAAATATCATTATACATTTTTGAAATTAGGAAATCTTTCTTATGATTCACCATTAAAGAAAATCCCTGCATAAAAAATGGAATTAAATAAATATGGCATCATTCAAGAGGTACCTAATAATGACATCTAATTTGAAAATGTTTCTTAAAATAGGTATCTTGATTCATATCCAAAATATTAGCTATTTGAGCCGTGAAATTCATAGTCAATTACCTTGTACATGGCTGGCAGTCACAAAAATCATAGGTATTCGAATATTCAAACAATTTATTCAATCAAATAAGATATTCAACACTATAAAAATTGAATATTAACGAATATCAAGTAAGGACATAATTTATATATATCTAGAAAAATAAAGCAAATTGAATCAAGGGAAGATGATTTTCATTCAAAAATAGCCTGATTTATGGAACACTTAACAAAGTTTTATAAACGTATGAAAAAAATTAAAAAGGCTAGAATTTACTATTCCAAAATAATCACTTGACTTGCTCTCAGTGAAATTCACCGTAAAAGTTGATGCAACCTTCAATGTTACAGCATGTATTGATGTACTAACGAGAAGATATCATCGCATCGTGAACACATTAGAAATATTGCCATTTTCCCAAAACGGCATCTTTGATGGCATCTACAAATTGAGCTGGGACCCAATATATCCAATATCTTGATGCCTCTGTAGGACCCAACTGTAATCCCTGAAAATGAATTATTTATTTATTATCATTTCATATATTCATTATGTTTCGGTGTTCTTTTTCGTATAACAAACTATTTCGCATTAAGTGTTGTCAAGTTTTTCCCAACTATATTTAACCCTCTCAATTATCTGAAACCTACTTTTTTCAGATTTTGTAAGCAACTATGTGAATTGAATGATTTTATGAACATAACAATAATGTGTTTCCAAAAGTGAGGCATATTTTTTAAACTGAACTACTTTACCATAATACGCCTAACAAGGTGTCCCAGAATAAACTACATCAAACCTTAAAGGGCGAACTAGAGCTCAAAACAAACCGATTTGGATAAATTTACTTTTATTTGAAAATGCATCGGTGAGCTATGACAGGGCGATTAAGGTTTTTTCAGATTTTCTTGATTATTCTGAAATGACTACGTCAAATGAGCATGGAAGACATCATAATCAATATACTGGAAGAGAGGTTTTAAAGAAATTATAATTTCTTCTTAGTACGCCACTGAGCACGTTGTAGATCAAAAAAACTAGCTTAATAATAATTATTATTTTTTAATCGCTTGGTACGCACGAAAGGGAACCCCTATAATGTTCGAAGAACATCGTGTGTTGTTGATAGGAAGAGGTGGTAGGGGTTGGAATTTTTCTTGAAATTTCGGAAATTATAAGTTCTTGGCAATGAATAACAGAGCTATCCTGTTCTATAAAGAAACGGGTTTTGATATAGTGCTATTCGGCATATTTCGAGGTTGACAACGAATGGATGTGCTGACTGCGCTTGTCGAGTTCGTCTGGCTGGTAATCCTAGTCGTGGAATGATAGCAGAGATTTCTGAAGAACATTTCCCATGGAAGTATCTATAAAAAAGTGAAAGGTCGCCGACCATTCTACGGTGTTCCAATGATGTCAAAGTGTTAGTGAGTGTGGCATCCCCCATCAGGGCTCTTCTCTGGATGGAATCTAAGAGCATCAGAGTATGTTTGGATGCTGAATTAATAACCTCACGAATAAATAACCTCAAATTATTCAAGAAAGTTAATAATGTTATTAAATTAGATGAATATGAAAACCTACAGATATTCAAAAATAGTAATAGAGTAATGAATAAGGATAATGGACGTATTCCTATGAATATTCTGACAATGTTCAAATATACTTATTTTACAATATTCTTATAGAATCTTCTCAGAATGAATACTCTATGAACATTAAATTTGACATATTCTCAGTATAATCTTTTTGAATGTTCTGAGAATATACTTTTGGAATATTCTGAGAATATTTAGAATCGCATCAAAATGAATGGTATTGATGTTCCTATTCTTGTATCAATATTTATAATGTTTACCCTGACATAACCAACTATTATTTTGCCTCAATGCTGATTATTCCACTGATTCAGTGTCGTCATCTTGCTATTTATATTATTTATCAATAAGGTTCGTGGCGAAGTGGTTAAGTTTTCAGGTTCGTAAAAATTCAATCACAAGATAGTAGGTTCGCATCTCCACCAGAGCAGGTTTTTTTTAATTTCCTTCCTTCGTCTTCAATATACTAGGAATATTCTCAAAATATTTAAAACAGTCCATTCTGAATGTTCATTGAATATTCCTAGAATATTTGTATAATATTGTGAGAATATTCTGAGAATATTCAAATATTCTCGAAGATTTTCCTATGAACGTTCCATGAATGACATTGTGCTATCTGGGTTAGTGATATGAGATTGAGGTTAACATGTGACCTCAACCATGAAAAAATTAACTTGGCGGTTAGTGTCTTCCACAGTTGGGTGGACATATTCCTAGGATACAGGGTGATTCAAAAGTGAGCGGAATCCTTTCAAAAAGTAGTCCTTGCATGAAAATAAGGCAAAAAATTCCCTTTGAATAGGACACCTCAAGATGATTTTTTTCTCTATAACTTTGAAATCCTTCACAATAAATTGGTGTACGGCATGAACATTTGATGGTAAATAAGACTCTGAATTCAAATTTTCAAAATTGTGTTCAGGGGCGTCACATGCGGGGGAGGGTAAGTGTAAAAACATCCCTTCTTCTTTTGATATTCAGGTTATTGTGATTTCGATTTGAAATTATAAAATTCTAGTTTTTCACTTAAAAAAGGTACTTTAAGTTCATTTCGATAGTGTACCATTTAGGAGAAAATCGACTTTTAAAACTTTCTGATTTGCGTATGTTTACTGATGTAGGTTAGTTAATATGCATTATCATAGATAAAAAACAACCTATAAAAATGAAGAGAAAAATTGAAAATTATCGTCATTAGCGTCACGACAAGCTACTAATCTTTTTATGAGATTACGATGCACACGTGGTAAAATTATATAATCTTTGCCTGAGAACTACAATATTAGATCTCTGGTAGTAGTCCATGATCAAATCCTCCTACCTAGCAAGGTATGTCACCCATTTTCCAATAGTGATGGAACTTCTTTTATTTATAAGTTTTTTGTATTTCAGCCTGATGATGACTCCTCGAAACATGTAGCACGTATCGTATTTTATAAAAATTCACTTGGAGTGAGACTTTGAGTTTGTTCTCTTAATTACAATATTAGATATTGGCCGGTAATAAATCAATTGTTTTATGTGCCCCCATAAATAAAAATCGAGGGCGTTCAGGTCAGGAGACCGGGCTGGCCATGTCACTGGACTCCAACGGTAGCGGTAGGCCTTATTCAAATAGTCTCTAGCAGTGATAGTAAAATGTGAGGGACCTTCGTGCATAAACCACATTTGTGCTCGTAACATGTGTGGTAAGTCATTTTGTGAAAAAATCGTGTAATATTGTCCATTTATTCGTTGGGGCATTAACACGACTCCTATTGAATATTCGATCATTCCCGCCCACACGTTTAGAATAAACTGCTGCTGATGTGCTTTCCGTACCATGGCATGCAGATTCTCATCCGTCCATATGTGGTTGCTGTGGAAATTTAAAATTCCTTTTCTTGTGAAGCCGACCTCGTCGGTAAATAAAATGTTCTCAAAATTTTCATCAACAACGAGTGTTATTTCGAGCCAATTACAGAATTGTATACGAGGATGAAAATCTCGCTCTTCCAAAGCCTGAACCCGTTGAATATGATGAGGGTAGAGTAACATCTCGTGCGAAATCCTCCATACAGTTGACTGAAGGACCCTTCTTGATAGGCAATGATGCAGGTACTTAAAGATGGATCTTCTTCAATGCGATCTAGCACTCGTTCTTCTAATGCTAGGGTTCTTGCATTTCTTGGTTTCCCAATAACTTCCTGTCTTTGTGAAGTTCTCAAAGTGAAATGTAGTTTGGTATTATGCAACATTACTAAAATTTTAAAATTTACCTGTTTCTCATAAATTACGATCTACTCTTGCGAAAACCGTACGGTGTGGCACTTGTCGATTACGAAATGCCTCTTCATACAAGTCTTGCTTCTACACAATTATCAGCTTGTTCTTGATGAATAAAATATATTTTTGCTTCTTGCATCATTGGTAAATAATTTGTAAAACACTCCATGAAACTGAATTCCTTTTGACGAAGTTTATCGTAATCAACAATACCATTCACCAGTCATTTGAAGATAAAATCAAACGCCAAAAAACAACAGCCAACTTTGGTTTCAATGCGTATCTTTGGAAATGTATATTTATAGTAAACATTTGCAAAACAGGAAGTTTTCAAAGTCGATTTTCTCCTAAACTGTACGCTCTATCGAAATGAACTAACAGTACCTTTTTTACGTGAAAACCTCTAGAATTTTATGATTTTCAAACGAAATCACAATGACCTGAATATCAAAAAGAGAAGGGATGTTTTTACACTTACCCTCCCCGCATATGACGCTCCTGAATACAAATGTTAAATTTTGAATTCAGAGACTTTCACCATCGAATGTTTATGCCGCACACCAATTTTTGAAAATTTATTGTGAAGGATTTCAAAGTTATAGAGAAAAAATCGTCTTTGAGGTGTCCTATTCAAAGGGGCTTAGCTCCCTTAGGAAGCATTTTCGGACCATTATTAATAGGAACTTTTCGCCTTATTTTCATGCAAGGAATGCGCTCCTGAAAGGAAGGCGTTTACTTTTGAATCACCCTGGATAAGTAGCTCACTAGAATAGGATATCGAGTTATCATCTTCTCCTGAAGATGCTAACATAGTTAGCGAAACACGTGTCGAGGCATTTAAAAAATCAGCTTGGTTAGTGGTGAAACAGTGTAGTAGCTGTAGAACAAAAAAATATTCGAATCAAACGCAAATAAGTAGAGGAGTTTTTCTACTCACATAGGTAACTGAAATGGCATTCAGCGTACGGATATGTACCACGCTAAATCATTGATTAATCACGGATTGACAATCTGTGATTTATTTGAAAAATCAAAGGTTACCATGGCAACACAATTTATTAAACACATTACCATGGCAACACCGTTTTTCAAACACACGTTCAATCGTTTGAGTCCTGTACGCCCTGTCAATGTCAATTGTAGGAACTGTCAACCGTCATTTTCGAATTCTGTTGCAATCGGTGACAATCAGAATTATTCAAACAAGTTCTGTTTGTATCAGAATTCTTCATCAAAAATGTATGCGAAATGTAGACGAAAGTGAAATGGATGAGAATGTTTTAGGTAGGTACTTGCATATTTCCAAGAACTCTGTGTAAAATGAAGCTCTCATCCTTGTAGGTAGTGTATTCTATGCTAAGCATGACAATAAACGTAAAACACAATATTTATGTAAGCAAAAATGATGCAGTTATTTGCATTCCTAAAACGCACATCAGAATATGGATACACACCTGAGAAATCGAAAACTTTGACACCTCAGCAAATCGAACAATCGAAGAGTTTTCATATTGTTTTCATCTATTACGTCAGGTGAAATCTTATTCACAAAGGTTAGTAAACAAGCCATTTCAATACATGTATCCTATGGCACAGATTAACAAACCTCTTATGAACTGGACACACCTACAACCAATATAAC